CAGGGAAGGCCACAAATCTGACATACAGGCTCTAACCATGGTTTGCACAGGATGACTTTCTGTGAAGTCTTTTTTTATTGTCATTGTGAGGAGGGGTGTTTCTACTTAACATCCGTAGGACAGTGCAACCGAAACCAGCATCAGGTGTATGGCTGGAACCCCCTGCTCCTGACCCCTGGTAATGTGGTCAGCATAACTAATGGCAAGCATGGCAAGCAGCCATTCTCTGTGACCGAGCGGGTCACATATCCCTTCCCTTTCTCCTCATTATCAGGCCCTGAAGGTCCCGTGAACCAAACAGACTAACCAAACAGATTTCTTCTTCCCCTCCCGACCGGCCTCAAGGCTCCTGGGCCCCAGGCCGATTACTCCCTGCCTTGCCGGCCTTGAAGGTCCCAGGCACGCGGCCAGCCAAGTGCTGTTGATGACCCTGAGGCAAGCGTAACTGTGCACAGAGCACTGTCTGTAAAATCAAGTGGTTACAAGTCCCAAGTGGGGAACTTGGACCCCAACTGCTGCTCGACCGCGAGACCTGTGACCCCCCGGGGACCAGGGACACCTCCGCTGTTGTCTGCTTCCTCCCGGGATTGAGGGAGTGGCTTGAATTCTTTTGTACGGTTTTCAAGCCTGGATTATGATTGTTGTGTTGATACGGCAAATCATGTATTAAGATTGGACCCAACCTGAAGAGGGTCGAGGGGATCAGAAACTGTAAGTTAAGTCGTATTATGAATTCTGTATGACACTACTTGTAAGTTGTACTACATTGATTCTGCCTGCAGAAGTCCTGTGCCGTTCTAATCATAAATTCTGTGCTATACTAATCATAATATCCCGTTGAGAAAACAGAGTTTTAATTGTGACTACAGGTTAGTGCCATCATCATTCTGGCCAGGATCCCTAAAAGAACCTCTCTGTCCCCTTCGTGTCGGGTGACAGAGGTGTGGATCCATCAGGACTGAACACATGAACTCAGTTTGCATGTACACCATATATATATCTACTAAACAGGAGGGATGCCCAAGTCTTAATGGAGACCTTTCTGACTGGGCCAGCCACCTACTTTCTTTCAGGCGCAGGGGGACTGCAGACCAGTCACCTCCTGTATCACGCATGCACTGCAAGTTCAGCACCTTCACCCAAATACCAGACTTAGTGTTTCTGCAGAGAAAGTGAACAAAGTGTTCACCATACAACCAGCTTGAGAAGTTCCCATGAATACTATTTCTAATATCAGCCCACAATCAGCCCAGTTGTCCTGGAAAATACTGTTTTCACTGTCAGTGTAGAATAAAACAAAGGACCAAGAGACTTTCCTCTCCTCTCTGAAAGATGCGGCAGCACTCCAGAAAGGCTGCTGTCACCTCAGTAATGCACCAATCCACATCGTGCCCCAAGCTGCCAAATAATTTATGCTAACAGTTGAGCCTTCCAGATTTAGTGAGTGTTAGTTGTAGGACTCCAGCTTCTGACTCATCCTCACTGACAGGACAGCTGGAGAGGTTAAAGACATCTGACAAAGGCATTTTGAGTCACCCTACTACCTAAAGTATAGAATCTGTGGGATTTTAATCAGAGCCTAACCCTTTAAATACCCATTTGAGATAAGTCATATAAGCTAGACGCTACTATACTTATTCACTAGCACGAGGGTTTGAAGAAAAGCCTGTATCACAGAGGAAATTAATATATAGGGGGGTAGGCAGACATGCTTTTACAAAAGAGTTTGGTTAACCCACCAAATCTGGGATACTGACATGCCAGAAGTGGCATGTTTTGTGCAGGTATTTAAGACTTACTTTCCCAAGCATATTGCCAAAGAAGATCCAAACCTGGATACAATGCTCATTTGAGTGTTGACGGGTTCTGACTTCGTATCTGCCTTGCTAATCCAGATGAAGCAGCATCAGTTCTGCATGTTCCTTCTTTCTTGATGTAATCTAGGTTTGTGCCAGTAATATGGTGGTTTCTGCTCATCCCTGAGCAGCTGTTAATGAGAACAATATGGCCATTTACTTGTACAAAGCTGTCTATACCAACTCACCTTAAACCCTTTTGTACCCTGGGGAAAAAATGAACTGTGTTAGAAAATGCTGATATTAAATACAAAAGTATTACTACATACAAGACTGTGGGTGTATGCTGCTCTACTATTTAGATACTGATCTGGAACTGGTGAAGAATACAGAGGTATTGCTATGAATCAACTGTTTACTCAAGATTTTCTTTTAAAGTTATACATAGGCGTTGACAGACAACACATTTAACTACAGCATTACTGAATGAAGCATGCCACATACTGATAAGATTTTTTTTTTTTTTTAAGCAAAGAATAAAATTGTTTGTTGATGCGTAAATGAGGGAAGGACCAACTCTTAAACCCAAGGATTTATTCTGCAGATGGCAGAAGTCAGAGGCTGACAGGCACTGTGTATGCCTGGCCAGTTCTATTTACGATTTTATCTCTTTTCTAAAGAGAAAGCTTCCTAGGGCAAGCTGTCAGAGCACAGGTGAAAATGGAAAGAACCATTATATCTAGCCCTACCACCTGTTTTCCCTTTTTCCACTGTGGGATCACAAGATCTGGGAGTCTTGCTTAACAGCAGTTTAAATTCAAGGCTCTGCCAGAGGAAGCATTACTTCTAAAGTACACTCAACAATCCTGAGGAGCCCACTGCGAAAAATACAACTTGTGAACTACAGGCAACTGTAAGTTTGTTAGTATTTTTAGATCAATAACCACTAAAGTAAAGCAAGAAGAGGTGGCAACCTCTGCTGCTTTGCAAATACGCAGTGTTTTATACCACAACATCCCAAAACAATAGTTTTGTTTTGGATGAGGATTATCCAATGAAAAATCACCCACCTCTCGGAAAACATAATTTACTAGTTGAATTGTGTCTAACAGGTATGTATCCTCTTTTAGGCTCCTTCATTTCACAATGACTTAGAAAAAACACTCAGATTCACCCCATGTCTGAGATAACTTGTTTTACACTGCCTGTCCTAATCACAAGTAATCTTTTGATCTTTCCTCTCCACAAAACACTAGGCATTCTACATGAGAAAATTTCAGATTTGCTCCCAAAGATGCTCTCAACAAATGTGACAAATGCTGATTTCAGATTAAAAGCTTCCAAATAAGATTTTAGTTAAAAACCAGAGGCTACTTGATTTTGGGGTGGTAGTGGAATGTGTTCGGGCCAAATACACCACAAAATTTTATGTTTGATTTTTATTGTTAATGACTTAACACATCAGTATCTTAGCATCATCATTCAATGTACTCTAAAAACATTTATAGGCAGATGGACTGCAAGGAATGTGAACAAGGAAAGCCAGCTCATGCTGTAGGGAGGAACACATAGTTCTGGCATACTAAAAATAAAAAGAAAGCATTAACGCACCATATGCTGTGCAACAGCAAATAGTGTTATTTAGAAGCGTTCCAATAAAAGCTAACGATGGCAAAAGTTCAGACCTACTAAAAAAACCCTGAAGGTGACTTCAGTCAGCCACATGCTTCACTGTTAGATAAAACTCGTATTTTATGCAATGTAGTTTCTTTCATTTTACACAAACCTTAGGATAACATATACCCAGTTAAAGTTTTCCTTGTTAAAGTTACTAACCATGGCAGACAGGAGTTGAAATGCAAGTGGTGAAGCAAATTTTGGTTTGTGTATAGCCCATGACTATTTTTTCCTAAATGACTGACTTGTCTTGCACCTCAGTTGTAGTCTCTTTCTACAGACTAAGTTCTGTTTTAATCTCTGTATTAGTACTACTATGCAGATGCACATTCTCTCTCAAGCTGTATGAGCAGAGCAGTAAAAAAAGGGAGAAGGTCTTTACTAAAGCAAAGTATTTTCTTGTAAGTAAAATTCTTTGTTATCACAAACCCATGTAATTTCAAGTCACGTAATGTTCATTTTCAGCATTTTTGGAAGCCACAGGCAACATGGGTACAAGAACATGGGTGCCTCTGTGTGTGCGCATAGTGAATAGTCAACAAACAAGCAATTTTTTCCGTAACTTTAAACTGAAGATAGCAACCAGGAATAGATTATTTCTTAGAATGAGTCATTGATCTTGGAACTGGGGAGACGCCTAAGACGACTTAGGAGAGCTAAGTCTTTTAAGGAATATAAACACTTCAAACTGCCACACAATAGACAAGGTCTACTGACTGTAGCATGGTACTGGGTGAAAACCTCATAATTTAATGACACCACAGCCTTGTGCAAATCTTAATCTAATTTTAACTTTGTTTATAAAATGGTGGTAGCTTCACATACCCTGCAGCAGAGATGTGAAATCAGTTAGTTACACTCTCAATTCTTCAGCACTGGCAGACAAGCTTCTCAATCTCAGCCTTGTTGAAGCGGTAACTCATACTGGACCTGATTACCCTAACAATTACAGGAGTATGCAGATGGCAATCACTACATTTTCTTGATTTTCTGTTCTCTTGGTGTCAAAACACAACCGAGGTCTTCCTACTGACTTATTTGGTCTTTTGCTTTGTAGCAAAGTAGTTAAAGCATGGAATCAAAACAGGACCACCTTTGCTCAACAGCTCTAACTCCAGCCCATCAGAAAACATGGAGGGAAATGCAATAGACTTAATCCATATTAAAAACCTTCAGTAAATTGCCATTCTGCAGTTGAGTCTGTGAGGTAACCTGACATCAGCAAAAACATATGTCAAGGATTAAAACACTCTTAAGCATATTCTAGAAAGTCATATTTAAACCAAAAGATGCATGGTTCAAGTTTGTTAGATTTTACCTGACAGGTCTCAAGTATTACTGAACTGTCTGAAAGAACTACAGTTGATTCAAAGCAGCAAACAATGACTTCACATGTCTTTGTTTTGTTCCAGAAGAAATATTTCATTAGCATCCCAGATGGAAGTTTCAGAGTCCACAATGTGTGTTCATTCTTGTATACCCAGATGCTGAATACTTCAATTCCCTTTTAAAAACATAACTAGAACATTTGTTCTTAATGCAACAGAGGAGTTGCACTAAGAATTTGCATTTGCCCTCTTATCAGAAAGGGAGCTGAAACAAAAATGTTCCCACCTCAGACCAACGCTGAACCCAAGCTGGCATTCTGAAGCCTTTGCTTTTGTGCATGGCAGACCTCTGTTCACAGTCAACAGCAAGAACTAAAATACACGTCTCAACTCATTTGGAGCAACTGTTGGACGACAATAGCTTACATTCACTGAACACTTTCCCCTCACTACTGCCTGCTTCTGCTTTAACTCCACTTCCAACACAAACAGAAAACCCAAACAAACAGAAAACCCAAAGACTCACTTTTCAACTCATAACCTGCCAAGTGAAAAGGAATCAGCAGGCCTGTAAGGAAGAAGTCTCCACAGAGACAGAAAAAGGGTCCCTTTTCTCACCCTTGTTCCTGTCAACATAAGGGACTGCTCCCAACCCCCTTGTATGTGAATAGAGCTTTTAGAAACTCCATTTGTTCTTCTTAACTCATGAGTAGAGTAGGCCAGACAGGGAAACGGGGTGGCACACTTTTTCCAAGCAATCTCATTCCTCTTTTCCCACATGCAAATATATGGAATGCCTACTAACCCTTCCCAACATACCCTCCTGCCCCACATAATACTCTTTCATTCTCCTACTACTTGACCCATTTTTTAGTTCAAAAACAGCTAACACAAACCAGCTATGATCGCAAGCTAGAACATGCTGAACCAACTGCCATGAACCAGAACAACTTCAGACACAGCTGAAAGCAAACAGGAAACAAGGAAAGATAGTAGTTTGACTTGCTTACAGCAAAGCTGTCCCCTCATTACACAGAGACCAACAATGCTCAACTCTAAGATCAGTCTTTTTCTTTGCTTAGATAAATTTATGAATTCTGATACTGTTTTCCCCTTAAAATTAAATGCTCTGCTCTTACTCTTCAACCATACTTTTCTATGTCCGAGGTGCATCTGCTCCAACTCTTCATTGATTGAGGCCACCATCTCCAGCTTCAACTTTGTTTCTGCTTCCTGTCCCATCGCTCTGATTTTTCCAAACTCTGAAAGAAAAAAAAAAAAGGCAACTCAGTGGTTGCTTGTAGGCAAAAAAACCTTTGCCCTATACCAAGCTGCCATTTTCTTTGAAATAATTAAATCCTTATTCACTGTAAAACAAAATAAAAATAAATTAAATAGGACCATATAGTTTTATTACACAAGAACTTATCCAAGTTAAGTTTAGGTTATTCAAAGAATGTGAGGAGAAGACTGCTAGAGGTACAAACAGGGAAATGAGGATACCTAGTGACTGTAATGAATAACCTCTAAGATGCCTTTGCTTCAGCATTGCTAAGGGGACAACAGAATAGATGGATCTCCAGTAGTTTGCTCACTCTAAGTGTAGATATTACACAGTATATGAAGGCTTTGAACTTCAGCCATTGATAACATGGGTTAGTTGATCACCATCAACAAGGATCAAGAATAGGCTTCCTAACACTGTATTTTCAAATTCAGAAATCTGATACATTGAATTTATCAAATTTCCTTTTCAAGAGAAAAGTTAATTTTCCATGACATTTTGATCATAATTACTACATTTAACTCAATCATTTTTGTCCTCTTAGTTGTTTAGTGTTTTTATGGGAACCTTTGTAGGCAAACTGTCAACCTCATTATCCAAACAGCTTGAGCAGCAACAGCTTAATATCTGTCATGGAAAGGAACACGGTCCTCTGATGACTAGAGCTGTGAGGCCACCAAGTTAATTTTTCTACTCTTTCAGCAAGGCACACTATTTTTATACAGTCCCTCAAAACCCTCTCACCTCTGAAGGCTCCAAACTCCATTTCAATCAATACTTTAATTGTACCATGAGTTTTGAGTAAATAAAGCTTTTCAAACTAATCCAGAAAACAAATTTTGCACTTTAAAATGCATTAGGGAACTGAATAATCCCAGGTAACAATCCCAAGAATATAAAAAAAAAGATGTTTTCATTTAAGTACATTCTGTCCTTGCTTGCTAAATTACAGCCCTATACAACTAGTATATAAAAAATTAAACTCAAGTTACACAACATTCTTTCTCAATGTTTCACATAAAGCATTAAGTAGCATAGCAATACTTAGTGTAGTATATCTTTTGGGAAGTGAGTATTTTCCAAATAAGTCTAATAAAAAAAGCTAACTCCTCAATTTTCACATATTGAGATTGCTGTGCTAACAGTATAGTGCGAGTACTAAAATATTTTTCTACCACTTTGAGGTTCTTTGTCTCAAGAGTGAACAAATGTCATTGAAATGCTGCATGATATTAACTTGAATGCTTAAAAATAAACATATTCTCAAGAACAGCAATTTAGAATGACCATGTGTAAGTAGTAAGAATTACTGTCACCTAAGGCATAATTTCAGAATGCCATGAAGAATATGCTTTTTTAAATCAGATATTTGACCCTGAAAAATACACATCAGACTACACCAGAACTGATCCAGTTAAAACTTTTTTTTTTTTTTTTTTTTTTAAATTTAAACCCCCCCAAAACATTAAGACTACCCAAAAACTTCACTGGTACTATGCAGAATGGGGCAAGAGCACTCTTACAGTGAGGTCCCAAAAGTTACTCCATACTTTTCAGCTGTATATATTACTTCATTCATATAAAATTATTTACATTTCACATTGGTAATAAGAAAAACAAACAGACTGTAAAAACTCCATTATCTGCATTAGTATTGTTTTAAGACCACATGAAGTAATGATGATTATTACCAAGCTAAAAAACTAGCGAGAGTTAGAGCTCAGGGGAAAATGAAAAATCTGTAAGGGAATTCTTTCTCTACACCCTTAGAAAGTGCTGAGTAGTACTGACTCTATACTAATTAACTACTATGCTCATTGTAACATTTATCCATAAGCTATGAATTCAAGTGTAGACTGAACGTAGCTCCATCCATGACAGAGCAAATATGTGCTGAACACCGCCAGTTACTCTAGAGAAGAGCTGTAAGTTCTTAGCGTTCGTGGTAGAACAGTTATTGGCTAAGAACACGGCGGGCGGGGGAGGCGGAAATTAGAAATTTTATGGGAATTTGAGACTGGCTCTTTTCAACCACTGTCTCAAGTGTGTGGATCATTAATTACTTTTAAGAGACCTGCAAAAGATAGCTGGTAAAAACAAACCTAAATCTGCTAATTTTGCAAATGTGCTATGTGTATATTCTCATCCATCACGAATTTTCCAGGAGTTCCATTCAGAAAGAGGCTAGAAACAGATTCAGATATAGATTTCAAAAACTACAAAGTTTATTATGTTAAAAAAGTTCCGAAAAAGGTTTCCCTCATTTACAAGCATTTGTATGGAAGTATAAAATTTAAATCATTCAAATAGCTATGGAGCAAATTCATGATTTGTAATCAAAAGGCCTTTTCTTCAAGTAATCGCTTATGTTATGTGCGTATTTTGCAAAGGGAAGAAAACCCCACTACTCTCACATTCAGATTACTTCAATATCAAGAGAGAAAGCGTTTCTTGGACTGGATCTGACAAAAAGAAACTAAAATTCTGAGAGAAACCTATAGGAGATAACATTTTAATGACACAGATCAATGCAGGAAAACACCTGGTCAGTTGGTCTCAGAAAGTTAAGTTTTACCATCTGTTTCACTTACTGCTTTTGTGGCAGGCCTCGAGTTTGACTGTAAAGACTGTAATGCAACATTTGGGGAGGGGGGAGAGCACAAACTGGAGAACAGATCACTTGGACTCAACAGTTAATAAAAAATAATCCTTCTGACATCAGCCTAACTCTAGATGTTCATTTATAATCAAGACAAGCAACACATCAGAGTTATTGTTTATAACTGTAAGACAAAAACCTCAGAACTACAATGTGGCAATAATTCTATTAAATTCCTCTTTCCTAAGATTAAGGATAAAAAAAAAAAACTTTAAGAGGTTGTGAAGTGAAGGAAGAGTCAGAGTACTGATACCCAGTGAAGGTAAGGATAATCTACAGGTAACTGACCAAAATTCATTTAATGTATCATATGATATTAATAAGCTATAATAAAAACCTATAGTATTTGGAGAAGGCTACAGCTAGAAGGATAGCAAATAATTCCCCATTATTCTATTAATTGCTAAAGTTTCGTAATTTCAATAACATTGAAAGCACGCTGAAATCCAGCTTCTTCAGATAATGATTAGAAGACTTGGGGAGTGTTTGTACATTTTGCTAGAAAAGTAAATGCACACAGTTTATGAAAATTTATACATGTTGGGGCACTATGGCTATGTTTTGTGCTCTTAAAAAAAGAAGCAATTTTCTCAGTAACTAATTGGACCACACTCAAAAAAAAAAAAAAAATCAATGTACATTCTGGAAAGCCATTAGCCATTACATTGCCAGCACAAAACTTTTTATTGCTAATGGAACAGATGTAATGCAGGGATTGTTAGCAGTATAAAAACCATCATGGCAAACACCCCGGCAAAGGAGCCTTGCTGGCTCCATCCTCTTGATCACTTAGCTGCGTAGACAGATATGTCATATTGATACTATTTATATATACACACACACACACTCATTTGAGAGGAGGAAAGACATTTAATATTCCATCTGAAATACCTCAGAGTAACCAGGTATAAGTAAGGAATTCTGAAGAGTAGTGATATAAACCACTGCTAGATATTCTTATTTATTTAAACCAAAATAGGTCTTAGAAGTCCATACAGCTGGCAATTACAGGTGGACACCAGTACACTCCTCAGTGTCAGAGGTACATAAGCTGGACATAATCACACAATTTTAAACTATCTAAAATTTTATGTTTTAGCATCACTCAGTGGCTGTTGATGCCTCATTTGCTTCTGTTTAAGATCAATAACTTCCTTCCAAAGGGTCCCCCCGCCCCCCCCGAAAATTCAAGGGAAATATTTCAATAGATCTTAAAAAAGCCCAACATTGACAGAAAAAGGGTGAGGGGAAACTGGGATTTTGTAAGTAACACTAAACTCCTCAAAACAATCATCAAATGCTTCCTTCATCATGAAGTAAAACCTATTTACATGAAAACAGAGATCTATGGAGATAAAACAGGGCAAGTGAACAGATCATTAGTGACACATCCTAACACCTTATTAGTTAAATTGCTTTTAAGTTCAGTTATTATATCAAGCAGGAAATACATCCTGCATAAAGTAGGCATCAGAAACAAGTTTCTAGTATCCTTCACTTAGTAACTGAAAGGCAACAATAAATGTCATCCCATGAACCACTGAGTTGCTCATGAACACAAATAAGTTTTAAAGCAAAAGAATATGACATAGTGATAAATTACACATGCTTATACCTGAAGCATGGATGATCTTTAGGTGCCCAGAGTTATAAACCTGGGTCTCATTTATTAAAAACATGCTCTAAAGTGATGTTGAAAGATACCAGAGGAACTGCAAAGTGAACTTTTCCATTTCAGTTCAGACAAATTAAATTTTGTTTCACAATTTACTTAAAGAAAAGACCACATTGATTAAAGAGGACTTCATCACATCTTGAATATAAAAACCCTAGACCTGAAAAGCAAAGTGCATATGGCAAACAAGAGAGGGGGGAACTGGAAACAGTAGACAGAAGAGCATGCTGGTCAGCCTCGGTAATGGTTGCTGTGTTGTTGCATCCTTAGATCGCGAAGGCTGCAAGTCAGGCAATGTTTCTTTGGAGAGGTAATACCTTTTATTAGACTAACTCATATAGCTCAAAAAAAGACCCGACATGCATCTGGGCACATAAGACTTTTGAGGTCACTGTGTGACCAAAAGCTTGTGTGGCACCCTGTCCCATTATAAGCGAGTCTAATAAAAGATAATTACCTTCCTCCACAAGCCTCATCTGATATATATTATTATATCACATGCAGTCTCTGCAAAGAGATGATAGTGAAAAATCAGGATACCGGTTTAGCAAGAGTCATGTACCATCATAATACATAATCTCTCAAGACTGTTACAGCACTTCATTAAAATGTCATAAGCAGCAAAGAAGCTATACCAAACAAG